AAAATCTTCAATGCAGACCCAAGTATTCCCTGAATGTTCAGGAACACCCACAAATTCTGTAAAAATAGATGATAATTTATTTGTTTGATTTAATTATGAGCCTAGCTTGTGATTTTGGGGTGGGGGTGGGGGTAGGGCTGGAGTTAGTGATGCTGAATAGATGATTTATAGAAAAGCCTAGGCGAGTCGTCAGCTTTGGGGAGCTGCATAGGTTCTTCCTCATGAAACACAGAGCATTGCAGAACCCACCAAGGGCTCTGAGACTTTTTGGGTGAGGAGGACCCCACCGAGGTAACCGTTTCTCCGCTGGGATGTCTAAGCCTTTGACCCCACAGTCCATGGGTGAGGCTGGTGTCCCATGACCATGACCAACATGTGATGGAGGGACGGGCCTGGCTTGTCCTGTTTATAGACCAAGGGTAGATCTGTTGTGGTGAGCATCAGCTACCCCTTGGTGCATCATCCTGTCCATCCCCTTTGGGCTGTGCCACTAGGTGACCCCCAGCACCGCTGAACATGGCTATGGGACATCTTTTTGTCCTTTACGTGAGGGTCCAGACAGGCTTGGAGGCTGCTGTGTGCTCCACCTGTGATGCACATCATAAACCCAAACCTGCCATCTTTGCTGCTTTACCTGGATGGAAAGAAAGCTTCCTTGTTATCGGAGTTCATCACTGAGTTCACCTCAAGCCTTTGAGCTCTTTCTCTCTTCCTTCCTTCCTTCCTTCCTTCCTTCCTTCCTTCCTTCCTTCCTTCCTTCCTTCCTTCCTGCCTCTCCTCTCCATCTGACAGCCTGGGACAGCCCCTGAGATCAGCTGCTCATGGAGCTCTCTCTGCTGAAAGCAGTCCTAAATGGTGTGGCCTTTGTTCCCCCCAGCTGTCGTATCCTTCGGGATCTGCAACAAGTCCTCGTTTTACAGACTCCATCTTGCCAGTCCCCAATCTGATCTGACCACCTGGTTTGTTTTTGAATCGAGCTCTTGAGTCATAACATTTCTGTTTATTTCAACAACTGTATTCCTTGCATAGGAAATGAGCCAAGATGGTCTAAGGCGGGGAGAGCGAAGCATGTCGTGGTTGTAATTGCTTTTGCTCTCCCAATATCAAATTTTACAGTATAATCAAAATCTTATTTTTGTACTACTGGACTCTGTTATTGACTTAATCTTCTTAAGTGCTCCTATTATTCCAGTGATTTCATCGTTGCATGTTGATTTTAATCTTTTGATCTCCATATTAGCTAGTGCCTGCAACTAATTTGTTGCTCAGTGTTTTTCTTTGTTTTGACCTGTGAGGCATTTTCCTCATGGCACACAACTCTGCTGGCAGATTGCATATAATCTCTGCACTTTTTTTCTCCCATATTTTGCATAGTTACAACAAATGCAGATTTACACTTGAAATGGAATATTTATCTTTGAGAAAGGCTGAGGAAAATATCACTTCAGGTTCAATTCAAGAGTCTAAGCGTGCTCGAGTAAAGGGAACGCCGCTGAACACAGCGCACCGGAGAGAGGGGTCACGTGGGCTTGTTCGTCCAGCAAGTTCAGAATGGGTGGCAACTGTAATGATTGTAACTTAAATCGTATGCAGTCAGGGATCAAAGCATTTCTGGAAGCACTGCTAGACCTAAGATGATGAAGGCTGTTTTTTATGAAGGGCTTAAGGGACCCTCCTAGCTGGATTCGGCTCGCTGCAGTGGTGGCTCTGCCTCTCTCACAGCGCAGGTTTTGGGTTGACAGTGGTGGTAGTGCAGAGTCATGAACTTCATAGCCAAAGTGCAGAGGCTGAAATATGCTCAGCTGCATTTTGGCTGGCCCCTAGATGATTGCTTTCCCCCTTGGTAGTGGATATTTTAACCTGTGCAGATTGTTTTGGGTGCTTTGTTTGCTTTAGCTTTTTATTTTAAAGAGTACAGAAATAATTTTTGCCTTAGGTTTGCTGTGACTTTTTTTTAAAAAGAACACAGCCTGAGCATCGACAAAATCATCCTTGCTTTGCTGCGTGCCTGGTTATGCTTCTGAACACAAATTGTCTTATAATATTTTTGACGTTTTGGTCAGCAGAAAGGCAGAAAAGCAATTTCTAAGATGCCTATGGGCCAGGAGACATGCATTACAGCAGAGGGGAAAGAATCTGTTAGTTGCTGAAATATAAAACAAATTGGATGAACAGCTGCTGACACTTGTCAGTCAAATAGTTGATAGCATTTTCAGTCTCCATGCCACATGCTTTAAGTAAGTCTGTCAAAAAAAGGATATTTTCACTGGACTTCCCTGTAAATATGAGAGAAGTTTTGGCCTGATCTATCATTTAAAATTTTGCTGGCAGAAGAATGAAATTTTCCTCTTTCCCCAAAACTGATTGACATAACTGTACTGGCAGATTCTTCATCTAGGTGCAGTTGTACTGGCAGGAAGTCCTTTGACTGTTGGAGCTCATTCCATCGCAGCAATGAGTTGAAGCAAAATCAGCAGCAGACCTCCGCGTTCCTTGGCTGGGTTTGCCAGAGTGCTCCTGTCCATCAGCAAACCCTTTTAGATGCTGCCTGAGGTGTAGCTCTGCTCTGCAGGAGCCCGAGTTCTGTCAAAACCATAGTCTGTGGCCAGGAGGGCTTTAAACCTGGATTTCTATTTTTTTCAGGCAAAACCTAACCGTTTTGGGTTCAGCATTTCTGTGGGATTATCCCAAGGTGGCACTTCCCACTCGTGGTGCCGTGGTGCAGCAGCCACGTAACCATTTGCAGGGTTAAAGGCAGTGGGGATCAGGGTAGGACATGCTCCTTTGCTCAGCCACAGGCTGCAAGCTCTGGAGCAGGGGGTTAAACCTTGCTGTGCAGCGTAGCTCATACCTGAGCTCTTCTCCCTGCTCGCACCAAAGTATGTAATTTGAAGCTTATGATTTGGGTCCAAACTGCTTAAAAGAGGTAAGCTGGCTTGTTTTGACTGTGTGGTCAAGCCTGACGTATCCTCAGGGTTGGTATGGAGTCTCTGCGGTGCTTTATGGGGGACTGAGGACACACAAAAAGCTGTCACAGGCTCTGGGGTCGTTGCTAATGATGGAAACGCAGACGAGGGTGTCCATCACCACCGTTTCGGGGAGGCACCTCTGTGTATTAGTGATGCACAGCTAAGGATCAGCTCCTGAAGGCTGCGCCCACGCTCTTTCATTCAAAAAATTGAGCAGGGCTCACTGTTTTGAAAGGTGGCAGGTGGAAGTGGGCTGTGTTTTTACCCAATAAATATTTCATGTTAAAAAAAAAAAAAAGGGAGCCATTTCCAGAACAGAATCAAGCTGTTTCTCCAGCTCTGCTCTGCCTGACTGGGAGCAGAGAGAGAAATTTGGATCTTCCCCAGCGCTCTTTGCCACCAGCCTGGTGACCACCCCACTTAAGACTTTCCCAGTGCCTCTTCTTGGAGGTGTTGCCCCTCATATTTATGTATTTGGGACAGCTGAAGGAGAGGATGAAGAGGGCAGGAGCACATGGATGCATCAGTATGTGTGTGGGTCTCAGGTGGATCTTAACCACCTAGAAAGAGGGGACCAGGCGGTTCTTGCAGTTTGTTCATTGCTTTATGTCTTCTGAGACTTGTTTTGCCAGGCAAGTGCTGTGAGGGGTTCAGGGTGTGATTGAAGGCTCCAAGCCTCAAGATACAGACTTTTTTTTTTGTATGGGTCCCAGTGACAGACCTGTGGAGGCACCTGAACTGGGTTTTGGTAGACTCAATATGAGTCTTAAACACACAACTGCTACCTCAGCTTCTCTGGGGATTCAGGACCAAGTAGTTAGAGGATGAGTAAGAAGGGGGGGTAGGGGGAGAGCTTTCTCAGTCAGTGGCCACAAGGCCACGTTCCTGCCCAAGTCCTCAGAGGTGGTGGCTTAACATGGCAATGCTTCCCTCTACCAGCAGCATGGAAGAAGACAAAACCCCAAAGGTGGTCTGCTGTGCTGCAGTCAGGGTTCATAACTCATCTGCCCTAGTGCATCAGATGGCTTATCAACACCCAAGTGGTGCTACATGTGCACGTCTGCCTCCCACTCCTGCAGTAAAGCCCCTGCTCATGTCCTTGTTCCACAGGGAGTGGTGTACGTATGTGGGTCACCATGGGCAAGAGCGTGTTGACTAAGGCATGGCCATACAGATGGGGCTGCAGACCACCTCCAGAGCCAGGTGCCAAACTCTGCCACTGAGGGAAAGGACCCAAAAAAATCCAGCATTGCAGGTGAATGTGCTCCAGGCTCTGTAACTACCCCAGTCCCCATCTGGGGCCAAACACCCTCTTCACAAGCTGTTCCTGGAGGTCTCCTCCTCCCACATGTCCAGGGAATGGCCTGTGGCTCTTGGGCACTGGAAGATGGTTTAGTTTAACGGTTCATTATGTCAGGCAGGTTTGTCCAGACAGGGTGTTGTTCCAACAGTTGTCCATCTTTTATTTGTGGGTGGTGAACATTTGTCCTTGTTCCCCAGGGTGGCAACAGGTTGATGTGCTTGGGGCTGAAGGCCATCAGCTCTTAGGCTCCTCTCTCAAATGACTGAAAGCCAGGCTAGCAGGAGTCATTTTTCAGTTTGAATTGGCTGCTGGGAGGGCGTAACTGCAAAACCCCACAGAAAACTCCCAGTCTAAGGTGCTTTCCACCAAACCAGCCTACTTTTTAACTGCAGCTAAGGGTTTGCCCTGTGCCCTGTGTTTTTAAGTGCCCCACAGGCTGCTGTGATTGGCTGCTTTGGGAAAAGTTAGAATACAAATTGAGGCCTTTTGGTGGAAAGTTAAGCAAGGCTGATGACCATGTAACAACAGGGGCTGTACCAGGGTGGACCATCAATTTGATGTCCAGAGACAAATCATAGGACATAGAGTGCAGATAATGGTGGGAACAACTGTGGAGGTGATAGCAGAAATGTCCCTGTACCTGGGGAACAGACAGCCTGGTTCCACCCTGACCTTGGGGAGCAAATCAGGAAACCATCTTCTTAATTAATAAACTGTAAAAACACCCATGAGAAAAGAAAATGCCTTTATTCTGAGAGGTGGGGGCTCTTACATCTCAGCTTGTAATTTTTTTTTTTTTTAATTTTCCTAAGGCAGACATAAAAAGACTCCGTAATTTATTCTTAGGACATCTGAATAGTTATTTATTGAGAAGCCACAGTTCTCACACTTTTACAACTGTAGGCTTGTATAAGGCAAAAAAAGCAAGATGGATCACTATTTTACACAGAAAGTAAAAGCTCCGGAGGAGGGACTGATGGACATGCAGTTACTGGTCAAAATGCAATGTACATGACAGATATAAAAACCATTGTGAAACAGAGGGTTTGTAAATTATGGTTACAATCTACTGAAATAAATATTTAATATATTATTATAAACACATTTGTATAGTCTAAGATTGTAATTAAAGTTGTCTTTGTACATACACGGTTATTTGAAATTTAAACAAAAATGTAACATTTAGAGGAGCAAATGTCAACATAAAACAACTGCTTTGGACTTGTAATGTGGCATGATATATCCATAATGATAGGATTAATCTGGTGTGGCAATTAGAATGACTAATCCTTTGGGATGTAGCCTCTATGGAGTTAACTGCATATTGAAGGGAAGAGCCTGGTACATTAACAAGGATGCAGAATGATTCAAACGGCTGTCTGGGTTTGTTTGTTTTCTGGTTTTTAAATGAACAGAGAGAACAAAAAAATCATTTCTAATTGCCTCGTTCTTCTTTTAAAAACAAAGCTGTTTTTTATTTATTTATTTTATTTTTTATTAATTTTAAGCAGTTGGCATCCACAGAAGAGAAACAAATGAAAGGACTCGATTCACTTATCTTCACAACAATTTACCATCAATGTATATACAGTACATTAATGAAGCATTGTTTAAACTTTAATTATAACAGGGACACACCTAGCATGTTTTCTATGTAGTTTTTTTCCATTAACAGTATTAAACAATGGTGCTCCATATTGCTTATGAACATATAGATATGAAATTAGGAAACCGATGAATCAAAGAGAGGTGCTATAACCTTATTACCACACAGCTAACATGGCATTTGTATTGGTAAACTTCTCATGGGCATTTAGAGCTGACAGAAAAATTCCTAATGTGGCTAACTGAGTTACAGACGAGGTACATGCACGGATACCAGGCGACCCCCCCCCATCCCTAGTCGTCCTCTTCATCTTCCTCATCGCTGTCCTTCATGGTGATCCCCTGGAGCCCCCCGCCCTCGCTGACCGACGCCGTGGCCTCCTCCACCGTCAGCCGGTTCCGGATGGTCTCGTAGGTTTTGTTGTTCAGGGTGGAGTCCAGCACGCCTTGCAATCGGAAATCCCGGTAGGTTTTCTGAGCGGGGAGAGGCGGGGGGGGGGGGGGGGAGGGGGGAGC